CGATGTTAGAAAGTAGACATATCTCTAGGAGAGTGTACATTAGTTACATAAGTAAGAAACTGTGAGAAAAAAAGTTTTTTTCTCACCGAATGAAGATATGCTTATCCAGAGCACATGGGAATAGATGTTCTCTTATTATCACACAAGATTGCCATGTTATTAAAGAAATGAACCATTTTATGACGTCGAGAATATATTACAAAAACTACATTCTACACATTCATGTGACATTGACGTCACACTGGAGACAACAGATTTAGGGCAAAGCATGATACAATTTCTGCTGGAATTGCCAAAATAACGTGTGATTTATGGCACCTATCACATATTTTTTGCTATTGCACTTTTGCACAGAGGAAGATCAATGTGTACTTTGCTTGCCGAAGGGTATGTTTTATGGAGTAGATACAGTTATATTCATAATGATGAATCTCTGTACTTGTTTTACTTGCACATTCCAGGAGTTTTATTAATACACTGATAAAGCCAAAAAGTATCTGCCGTCACCTTTGATCCACGCACAACTCTTCCAATTTGCATGTGTATGATATCTGACTATAGATATACAATGTCAATTTCAGTTGTCAATATCATGTAATAATGTTTTATTGAATAACGTCGTAATAGATGTCTCCTTCTCTTAACCTTAGTTACCATCCTAATCGTGAAAACACAAAACATCTGAACAAATTAATTTTTTGATTATTAAAAAAAAAACCTTGTACAACAAATTTCCATTTCTTTTTTTTTCATCAGATTTGATCTTGTGTCATATGAAATCTTTATACAGATTATTAAAACATCCAATCGGTATCACAGGACGCTTAATATGGCGATCTCTATCACCTGTGTGTATAAGCGTGTCTCTGTTAAATTAGTGCCTGGTAATAAAGTACTACTCTCGTTTTTTGCTAGGGATAGCAGCAAAACGTAAAAACAACGAGGAAAAAACTATCTAGTAAGTATACTACCGGATACTCCAAATTCAAATTGTGTTAATATTTAATGATATGCCAAAGACACCACTGGAAGACTAAATCAAATTATCATATTTTTTTTTCATTTTGCGAGACATTAGTAAACATATACGTTAGTTACCATACAAGCGTTTCGTAAACCAAGACGAATATTCCGGATCACTTAAACGTTTTATGACATCTTTACACGATAGATATTAAATCCGATACGGGGACAAAAATATGGAAAAAAGTTCAATCTTCGTGGGAAAATATAAAAAATGTGAGATCAGTATAATCCTCTTTCTTCTCCATGCAATCTGTCTAAAACACTTAAATTCTTATCAAACACTGAGAACTGTCCCATCACGTTGTCGAGCTGAATAGCCTCTCCCGCTGGCCGAGAAAACTCTCCGCCATTACAAGCTCCCCACGGGGTGATACTGTCACTACAACTCGACCCCAACACAAATCACACTCTTTCATAAGCGAACTCCTTCTTTACAAACACGAAATTTTGCCACATGAGCTAGCTTACAATGTACAACAAATTTGATAACTTTATAACTTTAATAAGAAAGTGCATCAGTGTCCAAAGTGTTTACAATAATTTTAGTGGATAGAATTATATTTTGTAATACAGCTTCAAATCGGAATATCTAGAAATAGTCGAAAATTGATAACATGAAGATTACCATGCTTTTATATTTGAAAATAAAAAAAAAACTCCGTTGGATGTCAAAGGTGAGGTCATTAGCACTTATGCAAAAACATATGAGCTATTAGTCAATCCCTGTGGGTCGTAAAATTTATGTTTCGGCTTAGTTTACGATAAAACGCTTTATGGGAACGTATCTTTAAGATGTAGTATGCCATATTACAGTAATGCAAGGGAAACTAGAACAGATTGTTTTGTCGGAGTTACTGACCAGAGTAATGATTTTTTTTCAATCTTTCTCTTTACAGGGGTTTGGTATTCAATGCACTTACTACGTACGTTATTCAGAATATTTGATATGTACATTTCTATAATTTTTTTTACATTCCTAATACTCAAATTCCATTTCCCGCAATGAGATGAGATTGCATGCGGGGTTAATATTGGGTTGGGGTTGGGTTTTTTTAACAAAAATGCTTTATATCATTCTTACGAACATCATTACCCTTTCTGTGACTACCAGTTCTGCCTTGTAATCACCGGAAACCTTTCAAAAGCCACCGTTTATTTCTTTCTTAATCCTTGAAGGACAACATAGTTTGCTAGTCCATTATAATTCACAAATTTGCTATTTGGTGTACATTTTGAAATTTCAATTGATAAAAACTTTTCACTTGTGAATATAATAGCTGTTATAAAATCTTTTAAGACCGGAGGGTAAGATATTTGTTTGCTCAATTGAGCAATTGCTTTATGGTGTAACTTTTTCAAAGATGGCGTGTGTTAAACGGAATTGAAACGTTTCAGTCGCAGAAGAAATAAAACAAATGACAAGGGGTTTTCAACGTGATACTGTTAACTTGGATTTATCAAGACTTGCAAGTTGTCGAATTTTTTTGTCTAAAGTTAGTTTTTATTTTTCCTCATTTCTTAGATTTGATTTTTAAGTTTGAAAAAAGCTCTTTGTTCCCGTGACTACAGATACATTTCTCTTGGGGTTGATGTTACCGTGACTATCGATATCTTCCTCTCTTTGTGTTGACGACGTTTTTCTCTTTGTAATGGTGTATCTGTGTCTACCGATAATTTTACATTCTTGTTTTTAGAGTTTCCTTAGCTACCAATGTCTTTCTCTTTGTGTTGACGTTTCCATGGCTACCGACGTTTTTCTCTTTGTAATTGTGTATCTGTGTCTACCGATAATTTTACATTCTTGTTTTTAGAGTTTCCTTAGCTACCAATGTCTTTCTCTTTGTGTTGACGTTTCCATGGCTACCGACGTTTTTCTCTTTGTAATTGTGTATCTGTGTCTACCGATAATTTTACATTCTTGTTTTTAGAGTTTCCTTAGCTACCAATGTCTTTCTCTTTGTGTTGACGTTTCCATGGCTACCGACGTTTTTCTCTTTGTAATTGTGTATCTGTGTCTACCGATAATTTTACATTCTTGTTTTTAGAGTTTCCTTAGCTACCAATGTCTTTCTCTTTGTGTTGACGTTTCCATGGCTACCGACGTTTTTCTCTTTGTAATTGTGTATCTGTGTCTACCGATAATTTTACATTCTTGTTTTTAGAGTTTCCTTAGCTTCCAATGTATTTCTCTTTGTGTTGACATTACCATGGCTACCGATGTCTTTCTCTTTGTGTTGACGTTTCCATGGCTACCGAAGTTTTTCCCTATTTTTTTGTCGTTTTGGCTTCCCCTTGTTGTAACGTTGTTGGGCTTTATCATATTCACCTTCCGCTTGTCTTGGTATTTCTTTCGATTTAGTCTTTTGTGTGTCTTTTGTCCAATCTTTCCTTTTATATCGTTATTGTTTGTTTATTTGTTCGTCTCTGCATTCATGCTTGCAAAGTCTGTGTTCAATATATATCTCATGAATTTAATTCATACTCGCATCACAACCATGACGTTCTACATTTTCCAAAACAAAACTTTTGAATACAAGACATCTCAGGTTTTGTTAATAAAAGTATAATAGCACCAAGCTTTCACGTTCTACTCATGAGAGCTTGGTGATTGACCATGATTAAAGGTCAAATGTCACACTTCACCTTTTTCAAAATAAAAGATTGTGAACAAAATATCTCACAAACCCCTAGAATATCTTAGTTGAATGTTCCACATTTCTGCATTAAAAGGTCAAAGGCTAACAGTATCACTTTGGCAAATAAAACATCCTTGGAACAAGATATCCCACAAATCCTTGGTCTAAAAAGACCAGAATGGGGAGATATATTTATGACACTCTGCTAATTGAGTTTTTCACTTTGATTAAAACTACACTGATTTAGGTCGGATGTGATTGTAAAAACAGATCATTTTGAAGGTCGCTTCGTTTCGAATGTCAACAGTAATTCCACTCTACATGTGGTTGAAGGAACGAGAGCTGTTCTAAACGCTTTTATAATTACACAGGTAATGTACGTGCACGACGCATGTTCTTAAATAAATCTGTGGAACATGATTCTGACTTTCATGGCGATGCACGAGACATGTATATAGCACAGGGTAATCAAAGGCTACGCATATACCTTACAAAAAAGTATTACTGTTTCAGCAAGCGGGTGTTTTTTTTTGTTTATTTTTTTCTTATTTATCAAACAATTACACAAAATTTTCCTGAACTGAACACGTCTTCATTGAATGAGTTAAATTCTTGTAATGGCTTGGCATTATTTAAGCACTGATGCAATTTCCTACCTGTCAGTGACGTAAAAGATGTCGGGGCTTCATTCATAGTTTACTGTGTTTACAGATTATAACACTCACAGAAGCGGGGAAAGTTCGTATCTACTATTACTCACTGCATAGTAAGAGAGGCGGATATTCAATTGTTGGGTACAAGTTTCAAATCGGGAATGACTTCTCAGAAATTGAATTGCACATTTGAAATATCTTGATATTTAACCATTAAATATCTTGATATTTGACCACTTAGATTTGATGTACTGTTAAATGCATTTCCAATTCAGAAATCAACCAAAATGTGATTGCGGCACTCCAGAAATCGATATTGAATGCAAACAAGATATTTACGTTCAGTGGACGGTTATTTCTGTAAATAAAATTTAATAATCGCCACTCGGAATATGAAGTAAGCAAGCATATTTGTTTAAAAAAAAACATGAACATCATAACAGATTGATAGTGTCCCTTCGTCATGATGAGCATCACCACATTAACAGATGGTTAAAAGAGTGGGAATGAACGCTTAAAGTGTTTCGAAATGTATAAATACGGCTAAAGAAAGAGGTTTCTCAAAACTGACATAACTCCACTTTTCCTTTTCTATTGCCATTTTACAAGGAAATACCCACATGTGAACATATTCATAATCGAAAACCAAAAAATAGGGCAAAATATAAATGAAAGAAGTACTTACACGGGGACTCCTGAAAAGTACAAGGAGAATAAAACCAGGTGTTCCGGTAAATTAAGCGTCTTCTACTTCATCAGTTAAATTCGCCAAGTGCATGTTAATCTTGGTCAATTCAAGTAAGCAAGCCACGTTCGCGAATGAGAACACAAGGTATACAACAACAGAACCACCAGGCAAACTAGAAAGCACCAAACACGTCCAACTTCATGTCGCACAAAAGAAACGGATGACTTTCTCATAATTACTTTTTGGCGTAAGCTGTACAAAATAGAATTTAATCAGATATGTCATTGTAGTTTGTTGGCAAACATGATAGTTTTAATTGGATTTTGTTAATGAGTCAACAGTGTTTAAATTCACAAAATAACTATCAGAACTTTCAATACAATACCAGGTGAAGTCAGTACTTTTCTGTGACATATTTATAGATAAGTGAATAGAACATATCATTAGTTGTCTTATTACCAGCTAAATGTACACGGGTATACATGAACTGTTACAATCGTATTGCATATTACAATGACTTGCAATCCTGCTGTATCTTAATGTCCCTTGTCATAGCTCATTACACATTCGTTAAACATGCACTGCACGTGCATTGTCGTAATTGCACATAACAGATGAAATAGATGACAGAAGATATTTCTGATAGTACATGAACTGTCATAAAAATTAGCCTAGGTGGTGTTTAGTTTTCTTACACATGTCCAAATTACTCTCTCGTTGCGATAACACAGCAATTGACGAAAAATTGATGTATTCTGATTTGCACTTTTGTCTAAAAATAATTGGTTGTATAGTGTGCGTGTTTCAAGGAGTCATGGTTGTGTGTATTGTGAGAGAAATATCCCCCTCCCTCCAAAAACTGAAAAACAAATAAAAAAGTTAAGAAAATACGGACAACGAAATCGTAGTAAGAAATAAAAATGGATTCTCGAGGATAAAACATGGTCAAAAGAAAAAATTTGCTTGGAGTAAAAAGTATCAGGTGTGCCTGGGACAGGAATCAATCAACTTTAGGATAATAAGACAATGAGAATCAATAAGACTTTTAAAATGTGCACGAATTTTGGTGTCGCTTGATTTCATTGATATTTATCCACCAAATAATCTTTTTGTTGTGTCATCATGAGGTAACCAAGATGTTAAAATAGAACTGATCACTTAAAGATGGTCGCAAGTTCTTAAAACATTAGCCAAATAATCGCAAAATCTCGGATTTAAGTAAGCTACGTGTATATGCAGGTGTAAGACAACGTAATAGAATTGTAAAATGACTGATTACAAATTCTTATTTACAACTTACTAAATTTCATTTGTATTCAGTACATTATATTCCTGTGCTTTTTTTCGACTTTAGTTCATTTCAAATGGGTTCAAAATAGTCGATGATGATTTATAATTAAACATTAGAAATAAATTGTGCACGGATAGACCAGAAATTATCAATTTAGCGTATAAATAAGATATAATACGCGCAAACATGGCATTTTGGAGATTTTTTTGTCACTTATTTCAAAAGTGAAATTTCACAGAAATATTCACTTACCAGTTAACACCATATCATTACACCACTTGTCTCGATTAGCGGCAGGTGGCGCTCTATATCACACAGTTATCTTCCCTTTATCACATCTAGTGGTGCCCCCTACCGGTCAATTAAACGCTCTGACAGGGAGGCAGTATACAGCGCCTGTAAAGACACCGACGATATTAAGATTTTTATTTACAAGAACTTATATTTTCTCACGAACAATGTTGACGGGAGATCTAGAGAACCATGTCAATCCAATGCTTTATTTGATGGTAATGAAATTTGATAAAGACTTTCAGCTTCTGTTTACAGATCGAAAGCATGGTTATCTTCAACGCTAGCCCGCAATTTACTTATATCTTTCCGTGGTATATATTTTGAGTGGAATTTTGATAAAATGAATTGTTTTTTCTCCTTAAGTACAATAAAATATTTAATTAATGATAAAATTATATATCCATGTGTTCATTAAGATAAGTAAATGTTTTCTTCTGAACTCGATGGTAAATCGGTCTATGACAAGTAGATTGGGAGTTTAAGATAAAGACAGCAGTTATCATGTGAAGCTAGATTGATACAACCAACCTACGACACTCTATACCAGTCGTACAGTCCGTCCATGGGAAAAACCTTCGCGTTCGCTACAAAAACAATCTACAATCAAATCTGCGGTCTCGTGGTTTTCTAAGAGCTTATCCTCTTTGAAATTGCTGCCTGATAGATTCGACTATCGATATTTGACCCGGGAAGGTCATGATAAAAACACCTATAAACAGCATAGTTTATACAGACTCGGCTGAATGTGTTATTATAAATGATATCTTGTTTCTTGAGAACATTTCTATTCCCACCTGTTACTCTAAGGAAGACGTTGGTGTTTGGACATGCAGGAGATCTCCTATTGCTAAGAGATTTCTGACAAGACGTAGCAACAAGACGCCTTGAAAAATGTTACTGTGTGATAATTTCGTTAGTTTGTGGTAACCATCGATCGCTAACGTAAGTCGTCCAGATTTCAACATTTTGATTGGTCCTATTCCTTGTTTCATATACCTACAGTGTATATCTGAATGTGTCTGTCTAAATTATACTCAGGGCGCTTTTCTCTTTTGAAGTCTTTCGAGTGATCATTTTTCTGAAATTGTTGACTGGTAAACCCCACTATTTTTTTTCCTTTCTGCATAAATTCTGAAAATGCATACCTTTTTCATATATTGTGCACATCAATCCAATATCAAAATATTTCAAGTGGATTCAACAACAGGACTATTGTCTCCACCCCTTCTATGGTCAGACATCTGCTTTAAAACAGGTATACATTCACTCCGTCTAGACATCCAATCGTTGGTCCCTAGCATCACTGAAAAGTCATGAAAGAAAGAAACAGTGACTTGGTGCAATTGTAAGTTACAAATTTACCATACATTTGTAAATTAAACATTTGTTCATACTTTCAAAAATATTCAAGTATATGTGACCTTTGTAGAGTTATTCTTAAGATCAAAAGATGATAACTTTCCAATACTATCCTTGTATTTAATCTAGTCATTTTATTTTAGAACATAGCTCACTTATATTAGTAATATAGCGCCTTAAAGAAAAGCTTCGCGATGCAAATTGACTGAATTACTTTATGCGATGAAAAGATAATTAGAAATATCAAAAAAAAAAAAAAAAAAAAAAACTTGTGTCCTTAATTCCTTCTTTTCCAACATAAGTTTCAAAATTCCCGACAATGACGTTTTTTCCAGACTAATTAAAAGGCTTAAATAGCATTAGGATTGCATCTTGCCACTTGTATCTATCAGAAAGACTTGTGAATTTCTCAAGGGATAATTGGAAAACGATATGAACTTAATTTCAAATCAGTTTCGTTGCTGGTACTTGTGTAAATAAACTGAAGATTAACACCGCGATGTAATTCTAATATCGTTTAACCGATGAATTCAGAAATAATTCCCTAACGGTCACGTGTCACGGGTTCCAATTTACGAATGTTAATTAATATTTTAAATGATTGGAAAGTTTTACGTTAAGTCATTTCATACAAGTTAATTCTTCCCACGTATCTCGGACTTCCAAAGTTTTGTGTATGTTTGTGGATCTACTGTTTGTTTATTCTAAAGAAAGGAAAATGCCCCGAGTCTTTGATCCGTTCATTTGAAAAAGGGATTAAGTTACGAAAGATGGAGAGACCCCGATATACAGCCTGGTAGAGCTTCCTGTAAATAAATACTTGATTAATGTCCATTAATGTTAGAGCACAAGCAAAGGAATCTCCCTCGCCAATTAGTGGTCTCAGGAGACGGCTAGGCACCTTGATGTGTAAGAAATGTTGGAATTATTATCAACTATTTATCAATATGAACATTATGGTGTGTATATCTTTATCATCGAAGTTCATAACAGGCACAAAAAAATAAATATTTCACTATATGATAGTCTTAGAAACAATAAAATACATGTTTATGTAGAAATATCGAAAAAGAGTTATAATCATTTTAGAAACGATATTCTTATACGAAAATCACATCAGGAGACCATATACGTGTATAGTGCGGTAAAAATGTGTTGTATATAAAGGATTTCACATAAATTTCAATATAATAGGAGATTTTTTTTTCATTTTAGCTAGTCGTTATGTTCGCGAGCACAAATAAAAAATGCATGATTTGTTTCATACATCACTTATCATATGAAAACGAATTTAAGATTCTTTTTAGCATATGATCAAATTTTAGGCAAATATTGTAGAAAACGGACATTTTTGCGTCAAATTTGAAGCTATGCCCACTCTGAATAGTTGATCGTTGGAGAGTTACTTTACAATGACGTCTGTGAACGGCTGACGTCATTTGATTATCTAAAGAGACATCACAATAAGCTATGTAGCACGAGTGTGATTCGCAACAAATTACATGAGTTTAGTTACTGAATGACAAGTCAATCATGCAAGAACATGTTGTATGTCATTGCAGGCTTTAAAAAATCTACAAAAGGACATCGTACATAACATGATGTCACTCTGAAAGACTAATATTAAATTATTTTCAAACAGCTACGGTATGGACAGCTATTTTACGTGCATCATCAAATTCGATTTATTTGTTCACGATATACCAATGAAGATAAGCTTGATGTTCAATTGATGGTTTAACCTAGAATTTATCAATGTCACAACAAGCTCAGGCAATGAATCTATTTTTTTTTTTATTTTAAGTTTTTACGTTTACAATAAATAGGTGTTTAACAAAAGTAAGTGAAAGAATATATGAAAACATTTATATATATTTCACAATTTTTTATTATAAGGACCATGGCCTTGTACAATTCGTTCAAAAATAAACAAGATATATAGATGTATAAGGTGTTAAAGCTTAATAGAGACGTTTATTTTAAACATAATGAGTCTTGAAGCCATGAAAATGATATCTTCAGTATTACATTTTTCCCTGGTAGATAAATTTGTTATTTAGCCGAATTGTTTATAGGCCTATGTTTTACTTCAACAATATCTAGTTGCTCAAGTTAAGTTTTCTTACACGCATGCGTGAACGCAAATGATCCTCTAACACCAAACCTGCGCGCACTTATGATTTTTGGGATATACAATATAGGCAATAACTACAGTGCTATAATTACTTTCTGCCTATTTTCTGCCCAATTTTCGCTCAGGAGTAGATAAAAGTATACAAACTTATTATAGCCGTGAAAAATGCAGGTGTCACAAGCCTTCGCGCGTCATTTGATGACATAATCATACACGTGCAGGCAAAGTTTAATTGTTTACACGTGCTTGAATCTGCTATTCAAAATATAAAGCCGGGGTACACACGTGTAAGTGATTGTGAAAATCTGCAAACAATTGCGCACGAGTAAAAATATACAGAGCGGTGGTAAAGATTTAGCGGTCGTAAACGGAATAATACCTAGCCTGCAGTATGCAAATTACGAGAGGTGGGCGGGGCAGAGTAATCAATTCCGGAAAATTGCTTTCTTTGATGTAGGTTGGCTCTATCCACTGTACCTTCCCCTAATGACGACGAAGTGTAAGGAAAAGAATATTTTGTTTACCGGAAAGGGAACGACGTTTGTTTTGAATTTAAAACAAATTATGTAACAGATCTGACACAGGTCGCGCACGGCATGTAATTAAAAACAGAAAAATGTTAAACTGAAATGTTGTAAAACTATGAGCTTGTAAGTACCAGGAATGTTTTTTTTACGAACTTCAAATAAATCATCACAACAAGTGATCGCGTGGTCACCAGGTGGCGTTCCGTAACAGAAAAATACAGGACACGTGACACTGCAATTAAAACCGTATTTTAGGGTAGAATAATTAGTCTGCTCGTTAGATACTCAGTGTGATTAGGAAGAAAATGTGTTAAATACAAATTGTTAACAGAACCAAGTGTCCAAACACTTATGTGAATCGACAAATACGTAATTATACATAGGAAATGCATACAAATGATAATGTTATTATATTTGAGAGAATATCAACTTGGCACATGGGTGTTTGACAAGCAATAACAGGGTCAACCATCGGATATTAGTGACTCAATCTGCATATGTATCCTAAGATCTTAAAAACGATACGACAATTTGTAAGATTTAAAAAAAAAAATGGTTTATTGTATCTGTTATATATAAAACATATATCAACATAAATATCGCAATCATATATGACGTGACATTGACAAAACTTTTACCAGTAATTTACTTCATACTATTTTGCTTGACATGTTGATGATAAACAAATTTTAATTGATATTTCCAGGCATTCTCTGTGTTTAATATCGAAGATTAAGGCCCAAATTATAAACATGAATGAGAGTGCAACGTTATGGAAATTATCTTATTGTTTGTTCATTCAGTGTCTAATTTTAAAATTGTAAAGAAAATGTGTTTCTTGTTAAAATTCTTGATCTTTATAAATCATAGTTGCTCAAGCTTGAATGATTGGTAGGCTAAGTATGACTCTATTTTTCTTGAAAATCACTAATATTATGGTGTTATCCTTATTC